TTGAATCAGCTACAGCGTCTTGTCCACAGCTTGTCAGCTTTCACATGTGATTTATTTATTATTCATTCCACTGACAGCCATCGGTGTTGTTTCTGTGATACAATCATTAGAGAAGAATTTGCATATTATAAGCTCACCATAGGGCAGGGCAGAATCTGACATGTTACTGTTGAAGGTTCTTTAAGTCAAAATGTTTTCATTAGCATTGCATAAAGGTAAGGTAAAGTTTATTTATTAAGCGCTTTTCATAGACAGGTAGTCACAAAGCGCTGCACACAGAGATTAAAATAAACAGTACGATAAATAGCAAAATGCACAATATACACAATATAGAGTTTAAATGTAAATTAAAAATATAAAAATGTAAAAAGCATTGGTCAACAGAAAGCTTGTTTAAACAGTAAAGTTTTTAACTGTTTTTTAAAGGATTCCACAGAGTCAACCAAACGTAGTTGTAGAGGTAGACTGTTCCACAGCCTTGGTGCCACAGACTGAAAGGCTCCGCCCCCTTTCGTCTTCAGACGTGTTCTGGGAGCAACCAACAAACTCTGAGTCTGTGAGCGGAGACGGCGAGCAGTAGTGTATTTTGTGAGAAGCTTGGATAAATAATCTGGGGCTTGGCCATTTAGTGCTCTGTACGTTAAAACAATAATTTTAAAACGAATTCTAAAATCTATTGGGAGCCAATGTAAAGAACATAAAATAGGAGTGATGTGAGCTCGCTTGCTAGAGCGAGTTAGTAGTCTGGCTGCTGCGTTTTGTATAGCATATATTACTGCAATTAAGTCATTGAGTGTGATTGGAGAAAAAGAAGTAAATGACCCGGGACAACAAGAGGCATCTTCATAGGGGGAGGCACTCGAGGAGATTTTGGATCTCAAGTCCATCACCTTATTTACAAAGTAATTGAGGAAAGTGCTACAATCTTCGTCAGAAAGCATGCTGAGTTGGAGGAGAAACAATACTGTTGATAGTATCAAATAGAATTAATAGAATAAAATGGTCACTTTCATTCTTATTGTTTCACAGTACATTAAAAATAATTGCAATTGCAAGAGTTCCACTGAAGCACATACAAACCGAACCACCTGACTGAATTTATCAAATATAACAAAATAACAGCACAACAAAACCCATTTTAATATTCACATTAAAAAGTACACAAATTGAATTTTTTCATGCATAACATCCACCATCCTACATCTACTGCTGCTTGCAGAGGTCAAAAAGTATATTATGCAATATTTTCTATATCATGATTAAAACTTATGTGTAGATGCAGCCACAGAAATTGTGACACTTTGTGGTAAAATCTACACCCATAAAAAAATAATTTCCAATAATTTAAAACAAGATTATTTAGCTTGAATAATTTACATAACAAATAACCCCGAACTGAAGATCAAAGGGTTGCAGCATTCACTCTTAGCACAAAACTCTGATCTTGTGTTTAATTTGGACTATTCTGCCTCTATGTATTAAACATAAGAAGCCAAGTGGTCATAATCTAACAATAAATGACACAAACTATCTCAGTAGTAAAAAGCCTGGTTTACAGTTAAATGCTAGTTAAAAGAGGCTAACTGTGTAAAATCCAGGAAAGTGTCAAAAATGGAAATGCATACATGCAATACATTATTTGTTCATGTAGAGTATTACAAGTATCACATGCTCTGTTAAGTTTAAAGAATTATTTTCTAAAATAAAATAGAAAACTCACTAGATTGCTGATTGTTAAAAGGGAATGTGAGTTGGAACATTTAGAAAGCATAAGAAATAGAAAGGAATAGAATAAAATAGCAGACATGAGAGTCATGAAGCGCCTTGAAACTATTAGCGCACAATTTTATCCTGACTTGCTGATGAATCCTCACAGCTGACCTATTTACAGATTTAATACTTACACAAGATTAGTCACTTAAATTTCTGTCTCTTGTGCATTAATAGTCATCCAAAAGTACCATAAAAAGCATGGACAAAATAAAAAATCCTTTTCATATATGAGAAAGATTTTTAAGACTAAACAGGTATGCGTTTTTTCATTTTGGGTAAATTTCACATCAAAGTCTTGGTAGTGTCATGTCAAGTGTAGGAGCCTCTCAACCGCCCTAATACATGTATAGTTTCATGTTTAAATAAAATGGAAATCATGAACACTGATCTTTGTAACATTACAAAACTTTTTTTGTTTTTTTGTGCAAAATGAGCAAAGAGATAGAGGAACAACCTCTCTTTTTAAGATAGATGCAGTTTTTAAAAACTACACAACTTTTAGGTATTGATTTATGGAAACACAGATAAGCACACATACACACACATTATGGCCACCGCTACAGCTCCTTCTTTTCTTACTAAAAGTGCATCCGTTCTGGCTGGTGACAGTGTCTGTCAAGCAGATGAGAGGATTTGTTGCCACAGTGATGAAAACGTCAATCTCTCAGCTTTCACCTCGACACTTTAGCCTCCTTTGATGTGAACAGAAAGAGCTACGATTGCTACTTCTCTCTTTTCCGCACACAAACTTTCTAAGAGAGGCACTTTGTCCGCCTCAGCATTACTTTACTTTACGTGACCCAGCGCCACGGTTTGTTGGCAGTTTTAATGAGCTTGGTTTATGTGGAGGCTGAGGTTACCTTTACTGGAACCAGGGCCACGTGTCTCACACCTCTGATGGGATCACATAACACTTTCAGATAACCCTCCTGACCCACATACGTCCACCAGCACTTTGGAGTTTTAACGCTCTGGTGGTGAAAATGAACTCAGCTGTTCCCACGCCTGCATTCGTGCTGTCAGATTTACAGTAGAGAAATGACTCACACGATATTATCACAAAGGATCAGTGAACAGAAGTGCTTTCCCCAAACATGTCAGAGTTGATTCCTCTTATGTGGCAACAGCAATATGAATCAGATTTCACCACCGTCCACTTGAGTTTTCTTGTCATGTTTTACTCCAGAATGAAGGGAATTGTGTTGGTCTCTAGCAGAGAGTTGAGTGAGTGCAGTAAGCAGCCGCTTAGCTTAGCTTAGCTTAGCTTAGCATGATACTGGACACAGGTAAAACACAAAACCCAATGTAAAACAACAACTTCAAATTACAGTCCTGTGCAAAAGTCTTGAGCCACCCCCTCATTTCTTTAAGCCAGATTTTTTAGTAGTAGTTGAACAATTGTTTTTACCTTTGGACATTGGCTGCTTTTTCACTTAATTTAGCCCTGTCCTTGTACCCGGTCATTTTCAGAGGAATGTTTAGTTTGTTTGTTAAGCCATTTAACAATGTGAATCATTTGAGGTCAAAAGGGGCACCCACCCCAAGGAATAAACCAGTGTTGTGTCAAAACATAACAGACAACTTTGCAAAGAACTGATTTTAAATCGCATGTTTAGGCAATTTGTTACTTACAACCTGTTGTTCCAAGTAGTTGATTATTGTTGTTTTCAATCTTTAGTTTTATCTATGAGAAATGCCAAAGATAATACAGTTTGACAGACATGAAATGTTATTTTAGCACCAACAAGGTGGATCCAAAAGAGTTATTACAGTAGCTGAAAACTTGGCATTTCTCAGTATAGTGTTCAGTGTGTCTTTAAAAGACTTAGGAAACCGGATCGGTAGGGGGGAAAAGGAGAATTCACAGGCCTAGAAAACTCTATAGCAGATGAACAGTATCAGTATCATGTCATTTAAATGTATGAAAATTTACCAACTACCTCAGACATGTAGTTGGCTCTTCAGTTCTGTTTACTCAAGTGTCATTGGAAATGTTCTCAGTGAAAGGATGGTTGTCGAGAAACAATTCTTAAAAGATGGGAAACAGGGAGAAGAATGGAAAAAGCTGGACAACTGGACTGAAAATCAGTGTCAACAGATATTATTAATTGATGTATACAAATCCATTATGAATGTCAAAAGAGAGGTACACGGTGAGTATCTGTAGAAGTCCAGTCCTTGAGAGCTACTGTCCTGCAGCGTTTAGATGCATCCTTGTTCCAACACATCGGAATCAAATTAATGGCTTGTTACCAATCCTTTGCCAAACTTGATGGCAAGTTGAAGAGGTAATTCAGCTATTTAATTCAGCTGTGTTGGAGTATAGATGGCTGTCTCGGTGGAGTTTAATAAATTCAGCCACCTGCTCCTTGCTATGTAAAATATAACAGGACACTGGCGTAAATGCTTGATCATCTCACACTTCTGTTTAATCAGTTTTCTTTTTGACGTTTATTCAGCTGTGTGAAAACTATAACTTTAATCTCAGCCAAACCGATTTACTCACGAACTAATAAAACACTGAAAAAAGCCAAACAAAAACATTAAATGAATTTGGACAGCATTTGTCGCGTCGCTGTGACGTAATCGGCCTACAAACGGGGCATCAGGAGGGTGCAGCCTATGAATTTGGACACCCCCTGTATCTTGAGGACTGGAGTTGGAGACCCCTGGTCTACAGCCATCTTTAAAACACAGTGGAACACTATGAGCCTTGGATTGGCCTCCCCAAAGATCAACATTATCGACAGTGTGGACTAATCTTGACAGAGAACAGGACAAAATGCAGCCAAGATCCAAAGAAGAGCTTTAAATGTCTTAAAGACTAATTGAAGAAATTACAAGAAAGCTTGCCTAAGGCTGCGTTAAAGATGCTTTTGCGTTGCCCTGCATCAATTTCCTATTTTCCTAGCAAAATATAAACAAATGTGAGCTTTAACTGCACAGCTTTTGCCAATTTTGTCACATCCTAGCAAGCAGTGCAGTCTTTAAGCTGTGCACTGCTAGATTAAACTAAGATAAGCTAAGCAGCTGCCAGATACAACATCATTATATTTAGCATACAAAAATGACACCAGAGTCAGTCTCGTTGTCTTATTTTGGTCAAGCAGCATTTAAGTTTTTAGTAAATTACTTTCACAGCTTTTTTTAACGTTCAATTTGACTAAAGCCCCTGACAACAACCCAAACGTTTCTCATTTAGCTTGTTTTCACAAATGTCTTCACAGCAGCAGGTTTTGGTGCAGGATGTCACAGTCACTGACATTTTCCCCGAGCAGCAAATCTCATCATCAAACATCACCCCCTCAGGTGAGTCTACACACCTGTGAACCCTTTGGAGCCTCACATCAACAGATGGTAGAAACAGAGGCAGCCGCCTCTGGCATTGCTATTTTAACCCAAAATGACCTTCTTCTTTTTTTTAAATGTAACACTGCAAATAAACCAGTTCTGAATCTGCTTTGAGTCACATCTAGCTGCTATCTGCATTTCTGTGTAGTGTTTCTGAATTAAACTGAGTGAGTTTTTCAAAAATAACAAGAACAAAGTATATGAGGGCGGGGATTGTACAGCTACCCACTTGCAGACAGATACAACTTATGCCACTTTAATGCTTATTAAATAGAACTTAAACTACTGTCAGGATAAATAAACCCATCTTAAATCCTTCAAAAAGACTTCTGACACATTTTATTTTGTGGCCACACTCTAAATAACAATAAAATAAATAAGAATAGTAATAAATAAAGATGGCACACTTCTCTGTTTACCTTAGGGGATTCCCTGGAAAAACTGTTATTTGAATTGTTTGTTTAAAATTAAAGTGGAGAGATGGGTGCCACCTGTTTTGCAGCAGTTAGCATATTTGTATTTCCAAGTAAATCCAGCCTGTGTCAAATCACTGTGATGATGGTTTTCACACCACAGACCAAAGAAGGCAGCTGCTTCACCCAGGAAAAGAGCAACACCTTGAGCCTGAGAACTGCAGCAGTGAGCAGGAGGCACAGCGCTGATGGAATGATCAGTTCACGGTCAGGGCGAGGGGACCTGGACGCTGACCGTTTCCACCCGTATCAGCGACAGTTCAGTGACGGAGCAGTGACAGAGTGCCTACAACAGTGCTCTTCTTCCTTTAGCAGTCTGCATGAGGTGTGCAGTCCTGGCAGTCATTCGCACAGCAGCGATATGCCACCATCCTGGGACCAGTACAATGGCAGCATTCAGGTTTCTATCCTTATGATACTCTCATTTTATCCTTCCATATTAATAAAGTTTTGTACAGCCAAAAGCAGCCTGATTGATTTGACACAGGAAGATAGACAGGCCAAAAAAAAAAAAAGATCCACCACATCACAGCAAAAAACACTGTCTTGAAAGCTTCTCCAAACATTTTTCCTTCATTTACTTACATTTGCAGAACTCATATCCAGAGCTACCAGGCATACCTGTGGATCCTCCCTGTTTTCTATCTCAGAGCTATCCATCCTACAGCTCAGCAAGTCCTCAACAACAGGTGAGTGTCCTGCTTCAGGCACTCAGAAATGCTTTAGAGGACATGACGTTTAGGACACGAGTAATATCTAATATTTGCATTTATGATATGGTGTGCACATTGGACTATAACACAGTGGTCAGATCATGATTTCTTCTCTGTTCTCAAAAGGTCTCTTCTAGACTGTATCCTAACAAGGACCAGTCCAGCACCTCAAAATATAGTCTCTCCAGCCAGTCACACCAGGACGACACCACACAGTCCATCTTTCCTAAGCCCATTTACTCATACAGGTCTGAAGCTAAATCTTTTGTCTACCTTTTTTTACTTACTAATATTTAATACTGTGCGTGCTATCACAAGCAGGGTAGCTTTTTAAAATATATAATTATAAATAAAATTCTTTATTGTGGCAGCATTTTGATTTTCATGGCTCTGAAGAACAGCAAAACAGGAAGTCTCCCAGTCAGCGAGATCTACAGCTTCATGACTGAACACTTCCCATATTTCAAGGTACCACAACGTTATTATTAAATACTTTACTTAAGCATGTTGGCTCACTGAGACCAAGGTTTCTTTTCAAGAGACATTTGTGTGCTAAAGACATTTTTGTTTTAAGGGTAAACATACAGACATGTGATATAGAAACAAAGCATGTGACAAAGTCACTATGACCCAGTGCTTTGAGTTTATTTTTGACTTTTGATTCTCTTTCTTGGATTTAAGTTTTAGCTTTGTATTAGTTAGTCCTGAGTTTTGTATTTTCTAGTGCATCATAGTTTATTATTTCTAGTTCCTGATTCTTGTTTTGTTACATTAGCTCCCTTTCGTGACCAGTCTGTTTCTAGTCTCGTCTCTGTGTCTTGTCATCAAGAGCTCCTGTTGTAGTCTGTCTAGTCTCTATGGTTTGTCTCTTCAGTCAGTCATATTTCCATGTTTGTTTATTTCCAGTCCCGGTGTCAAATTCATGTGTCTCAATTTTGGTCTCAGTGTTTGTTACTTCCTGTTTTATTTTGATAATCCCTTATTCCTATACGCATTGCATTCAGTTTTTCTTCCTCTGTGTCCTTACTAGAGATGGACCGATCCGATATTACGTATCGATACTGACCTAAATTACTGGATCGGATATCGGAGAAAAATAAAAAATGTAATCAGATCCATTAAATATCACGAAAGCACCTCACAAAACTTGCAACACGCCGTAGCTCACCTCAGAACGTTAGCACGTCGGAGCAGTATGCATCACGTGATAGAGCGGCTGTGGCATGCGGGACCTGTCGGTGGTCTGGATAGCATGTGGAGCTTCGCTAGCAACCCGGCATTTCATCTCCGACAAAGTTATCCCCGAGAGAAGTAAAGCAAGTGTGTAAGTCCATCTCTGAATGTTTGTAAAGCATTCCTGCGTTAAGCTTAACAAGCGACTGCCTCTTCTTGCTGCTACTTCAATCATGAAACTGCTTAATGATCAGCTGATCGGCTTTTCTGTCGAGTCCATCTCTCTTGTTTGTTTTTGGCCACTTTGCACCAGAAAGAGGAAACCAGCGGCTGAACAACAGCAGCACGTTTAAGCTTGATAAGCTGTTGTTAGAATTTATTTAATATTACTGTAGCTGACGGCTGTAACTGTGCAGGGGCGGATCTAGCAAAGTTTAGCCAGGGGGGCCGATAGGGCATTAACAGGGAAAAGGGGGCACAAAGACATACTTTTCTTTCTTATTCTCATTTAAAATGTCTAGCTTTTAATAAATAATTATCTGACACCCAAAGTTTTAATTTGATGTAAAATGAATAGAAGTCCATTACTGTATATAGTAACTATTAAGTCTAATATATATACCCTAGTAAGCTATAGTACTTTTTCCTTTGGGAAGGTACCATCTGTGCAGTCTGCAATTTTGTTGAAGAAAGATGTTGAATCTATTTAATATTTCTTGAAAAATAATTGATTTCTGTGCATTTTTTTTCACACTGCATCAAATTAAGGTTGATTACGTCGATTAAGCATCATGAGGTGGAGCGTGAGGGGTGGTTCCCTATTTTTTATTTATTTATTTTTGTTGTTGCTGGGAGTTGGAACCCTATTAGTTAGGTTGCTTAATATTTACGCTAAGTACTCTTTAAAATACCAGAATAGGGAGGATGGTGTAGGTTTAAGTTTATTAGATTGATCAGTATTGCTGAACTATGAAATATTTTTTTTGCATACAGGTATAACAGAATAGCTTTAGTGTAGTTGTTGTTTTAAACTTGAGTATGAACTTATACAAAATGCAGCAAGATATTTAAAAAAACAGTTTTGTTGATTAAAAAACACTATATCGGATTCATATCGGTATCGGCAGATATCCAAATTTATGATGTATCGGTATCGGACATAAAAAAGTGGTATCGTGCCATCTCTAATCTATACTCCAGATTAGTCGCTGCTGTGTTCACAGCTGTCTCAACTTCCTGTGTCTGTCCCAGTCTTCCCTTGCTCTTTGTTGTGTTCTTGAGTATACAAGTGTCTCTTGACACTGAACTGACATGTGGGACTTCATTGTAATGGGCTTCCTAAATGTTATTCTGTGTGTTTAATCGAAGTGGAACCATGAGTGTACACTCAAAAAAAATCGTTATGCCCAAAATGCTGATTAACGAACTGATTTGGTTTTTCTTTTTGCGAATTTAAAGTGTAAAAGATTCAATAGATTACCATTAAAACTTGATTGATATGTGTGCAGTTTATACCAAGCGTATTTTCCTTAGTGATTAATTAATTAATAGTAGTTTAAATAAATAAACCTTTCAGTACTTCAGAAACGTTTTTTAAGGGCAATTTTGTAACAGCTGTTCCAGGGTAAAGGACAGAAAAATACAATTGTTAACAAACGTAACAGAAAATAGTTGTAAGACAGTAGCTCATATATTTAAATGGAGCATTTTTCATTATTAAGCGATTTTAAATGTTTTACTGATATTGCAATTTTTTTCTGGGAACCATGGAAATCACTTCATGGGCTTGGGAACATTTCTGAAAACCCATGCCTCCTTTCCAAAGCTGTTCGGTGGGCTGAATTGGGGACTTTGCTGGGCCATTTCTTCTAACACCCCTGCTATACATTATTTGCTCTCAGTTCTCACGCACGGTATTAATTTACAAATAAAACAGTGATGCACTTTTTTGTTGGAGGGAGGTATACATATCAATGCATTGCATCCTTTTTTTGGTGAGGAGTTCTAAGTAACAGATTAGATTAGATTAGTTACGCTCATAAAATACTCCACATCGAACAAGGATGCCTCCTGGGCGCCTCCTGGGTGAGGTGTTCCGGGCATGTCCCACCGGAAGGAGGCCCCGGGGCAGACCCAGGACACGCTGGAGAGATTATATCTCTCGGCTGGCCTGGGAACCCCTTGGTGTCCCCCCGGATAAGCTGGAGGAAGTGGCTGGGGAGAGGGAGGTCTGGGCTTCTCTGCTTAGGCTGCTGCCCCTGTGACCCGGCCCCGGATAAAGCGGAAGAAAATGAATGGATGGATAAAATACTTTTATACTTTTTTAGTGGTTAAAGCCGCATTGTGTCAGAGCTGATGTAAAAACAGAGATATATAAATAATAAATTTTTGTATAGCAGTTGACAGATGTGATCATGTTAAAAATGAATGCCTTTATTCATTAATTTTGATAAATGAGGCAGCTGCAGGGTTGGACTTGAACCCTGCAAACGACAAATATTTTACATTTTCCATCCATCTATGAATCAGTTCAATAGGTTCAGAGTAACTTCTGGAGGGAGCTGAAAGACTTGCTGCTATTCATATTAAAGATGGCTTATAGATGGCTGTTTTCCAAACAGCTGCCTAAAAAAAAAAAGAATGAAAAAAAAGTTAAACATATGCTGCAGGGCTCGAATATACATGAGACAGATGAAGTGATATTTGAAGAAAAGTTGGGTTCACTTTGTAAAAGCTGTTTCTAGATACGTCTAAATGCTTCAATCAACACATCACTTATGTGCAGTTCAGTGGACACTTGTTATGGCATGCAGATACCATTTACTGGCAGAGCAGATGGTGGCAATATTAATATACTGTGTGTTGTAATATTCCCTGCAGGGTGGACTGAGTACCCTGATTTTATTAGATGGTTCACAATTAATTTATAGTTGCTCTCAAGATATTTTAACAAGAATGTAACACATGCAGCGGAAGACAATCAGGCAAGTGAGGTCGAGTTTCTTTCAAAGTCATACTCAAGATGTGGAAAAAAAAAAACTGTGGAAACTATGGAAAAATGTTCTGTTTGGAATTCTGTATAGGGTGTTCCCCGAAACAATGAATCATAATAACATTCATGAGCCATCAGGAGAATTTGTCCAGTTTGTTTAAAGTCATTTGAGGTGTCCCGGCAGCCAAGTGGTTCACTTTTAACATAAATGTTCTTCATTTATCTTTTTCTTCCTGTGTTCAGACGGCTCCTGATGGATGGAAGAACTCTGTGCGGCACAATCTGTCCCTGAATAAGTGCTTTGAGAAGGTGGAGAACAAGAATGGCAGCACGTCTCGTAAAGGCTGCCTGTGGGCGCTCAATCCAGCCAAGGTGGAGAAAATGCAGGAGGAGCTGCACAAGTGGCGCCGGAAAGACCCCGTTACTATTCGCAGGAGCATGGCAAAGCCAGGTCAGTCCCGTAGGTATCCAACCTGAGAAATTGCAGAGTAGAAATTAAGGTATACAGAAGATTCTTTTCTACTACTTATTTTGCTTATTTTACTTTTCCTGTAGAAGATCTTGATCGACTACTGGGAGAAAGACCGGAAAGACTCAGGTCTGTGCCACCGAACCCCAAATCAGGCACATTAACCAGAGCGACCCCCGTCTACAACCCCTCCGCTTTTACTTGTACTCCAGCTGAGCTTCGCCCAGCATGCCAGCCCATTTGCCAGTCACACTATGCTCACCTTCAGCCTCAGCAGCCCTTCTACCTCCCCCCTGCTGTCACACACCCCAGCAACTCATTCGCCCTCTTCTCACCCTGTGGACAGCAGCCTGCAGCCGGTATCCCATCATCCACTGGAAGCCTCAACTCACCGGTAGCTGGGAAGATACCACCTGTTTATAACAATGCTCTCCAGTGTGATTACAGTGTTGAGCCCAGGACCACCATGCAGGAGTTTCTGCTGGAGGGAGACACCACTTATGACATTGACATGCTCAACCCCAGTCTGACTGACCTTCAGCTGCAAGGTATGAAAGACAGGGACAATACGGAGGGAAAATGAGTGCACCAAGATTTGCTTGTGCAAGCTTCAGCAGATATTTATTACTGATACTGACAAACTGGTTTAAAAGCTGATAGGAAAGAAAAGGGAATTTAGGAGCCGTGTCTTAGTTGCATAGTTTGCCCACCAGAGAGCACTGAAGAGTTGAGTTCCTTGCTTGGTAGACAAAGCCCATCATAATCTTTTACACAACTTTAGATCAGTCTGCATTTCTGCAGGCTGCTTTAACTGTAAAAATAACAAAATAGCAAACTGTTGTGTGAGTGTAGCATCCCTGCTAAATAATGATTGGTGTTGCTCTCTAAAATATGACCTGTGGTTCCTTTTTTGCAGGTAACCTGTGGGAGGAGCTGAGAGTCGACAGTCTGGTGGCAGAACCACAAGTTAGCACAAGCTCGTCCGCTACCTTTGTCCCTCAGAACCACCACATCCAGAGCAGCGGCCTGCACGTCGTGCCTCCCATCAGTCAGACATCAGCTGTGGTTGCCAGCGGTCGTTATGAAGCGGAGTACGAGGACGGGGACGAAGGGCGAAATGTGGAGCAGCATGGCTGTTTTAACGGACTAAATCCCGTATTATATTCAGGAGTGGAAAGCTTGGCTGGGTATCTGACCTCCTGCACTGCATCCGTCTCTTTAATGTAAACCTTCGCTCTATGGATTTGATGTACCATGTGAGTCTGAACGAGGAATATAGTTTCAAGCAGTTTCACACTACAGTGTATGATTGGTGGTAATTTAAGCCCCGTGGCGTGTCCAGCGGGGTGGCCTTGGGGGGCCCCCCCAAACCAGACTGGCCACCCCGAAGCTAAAACAATAAAATTCAATGAAATATCAAATGTATGATTATGTTTCATAGTGAAGCTCAGATATCCGAGTGTAAGTGAATGCAGCATCGGCTTCTGCACTATGAGCATCCTGTTAGCAAAGGTAGGAGAGCCAATCACGAAAGACGGCACCACAGAAAACAATTTTTCTGCGAAAGATTAGCAGGTTAACATAGCTGGACTGGCCATCGGGCATACCGGGCATTTGTCCGGTTGGCTGATGACTTATTTATTTATTTATTTTGTAACGGCATGAACAATGAGAGGTGGTGGATTGGCCAGATGCTGGCCGATGTGTAAAAATAACTCAGTTGTTTGGTGGTGGCTACGGCGGAGCTTCCACAGAGGCAACAGGTGGATGAGGGAAGGCAGGAGGAGGAGAGACCCGAAGCAGCCGCCAGTCCGAGTGTCAGGTGAACTGAACTTCAGATAAGAAGTTATGACCTGCAGTCTCTCTGGGTCAGATATAAACCAAGTTTAGGTGGAGTTTATTTTCGTTGTGCTGACTTTTTACAGTCAGAGTTTCTATACAGCTGTGTGGGTGCTATGATGTTACTGATAGTGAACTTTATTTTATTCATAAGGTTAGTTGGTAGAGTTGCCAACGGCTCCTTAAAAATGGAATGGTCCCTCATTCAGAGAAAATATTACGCGTTTCGTATTGAGCTGAGAAGAGACGCAGTTTGTCCCGTACTTCAGCTAGAATGAAAAAAAAGACACAAAGCTGGAGTTATTCTGTCGTTAGGCTGCACAGCTGCCTCTTCTTCTCTCATCCTCTCCCCTCCCTCTCCCGTTTCTACTTCAATCATGAAACTGATCAATGATCAGCTGATCGGCTTTTCTCTCTTGTTTGTTTATCGCCCACTTTGCGCCAGAAAGAGGAAACCAGCGGATGTCGCCCTAAACAACAGCAGCATGTTTAAGCTTGATCAGCTGTTGTTAGAATTTATTTAATATTACTTTCTAGTATCAGCTGATGTTTGCTGGAGCCACAGCTGTAAACCTGCTGGTCATGATATCAGTTTGTATATCTGGTGAGAGGGAAACATGAAGCTGAAACCAGGAGATGTCCTTACTGAATCATCAGAGCTGAACAGGTGATGGAGAAACAGGTTTACCTTTTAGGTGACATGAATGAGTTGAAGTTATGAACTGTTTCTGAGAGACAAATAACACCAGGATCCTTTTCTAAGCAGCTGACAGCTGGTAACTGTGCAGGGGCGGGTCTAGGAAAGTTTTGCCAGGGGGGCCAGGTAGGGCATTAACAGGGAAAGGGGGGCACAAAGAAATATTTTTATTTCTTATTCTCATTTAAAATATCTAGCTTTTATTAAATAATTATCTGAATCTTGCGAACAAAGTTTTTATCTGACGTAAAATGTATAGAAATCATACATATACCAAAAAGACTGTACATCACTGTCACAACAGCGTTTGTTTTCATTCAAAGGCTTTCAAAGCCTTTGAATGAAAGGCTCAGGTATTAAAGCCATAAAGTTTATGGCTTTAATACCTGGTGGGCCGGTCTGTAGTCAAAATGCCCAATTTTTTGTCCCAGTCCAGCCCTGCAGGTTAATACTGGCAGTGTCACCAGCTGAAAGTATTTCATCATCAGCCAGTGTTGTTCTTTATCAATATTACCAAAGTTTACCATAAGGCAGCATAGAAAGTATTTACTTGCTTTCAGGTTCTATTCAAATGTTAGTCTTTTCAGTTGTTTCCTCACTTTTTTCCTGTTTCAAAATCAAACACCAGTTTGTGAGAAGATTATCTTCTTTTTTTAATAGGCAGATAAAGTTTTGCATTGGCTAATTTCCCAATTGTATGTTAAAAATGTTCGTATTTTAATCTTCAAAAATGTTTTTGCCCAAAACATATGTGCACTATATGTCAGTAAAAACACTATGCAAATATTGCTGTCCTTGAATGCTGAATAAGCACTGACAAAGCACTGATTGTATCTCTTGTACTTCATCAACACAGTATCTAAAAACTTTGCACCATAGTGATTAAAATCTCATTCTAATAAGAGTTAAAAGTGCATTTGGTTATTAGGTTTATAGGGTTACTGAATTATGGTTAACGGTGGTAGAATTTTTTTAACATTATCTGCCAATTACATCTGCCACCCTTCTCCAAATCTGTGCCCCTACCTGGCCCCCCAACAAAAATTTTCTAGACACGCCACTGTTGAAGCCATCGCTGCAACAAACTCTGATGAGATTGGTTGTTGAGATTTTCACTGCATGCAGTCACAGTTCAGCTGATAGGACAGAAGAGCTCGTGTATAGTTATTGTCTGAAACATTTTTCCGCCTCCATTTCTTCTTATAGCTCCTGATGAATTAGACTATTCAGTATTAGAGGTTTACAAAGTGGATGGAGGATAAACTCAGATGGATCAAAACCCCAGTAACACCTTAATCAGGTCATCGCAAAGAAAGAGGTTAACAAAAAAAACCCCCATGAAAACCAGAAATATATCAGTCAAGCGATATTGTTGTTGCTGGAGTTTTTTGAATCTCTTCATAATTAGCCAAAAAAGTTTGATACACAGAGGATAAAAAGAGAAATGGCTGAATTAAAACTGTAATTAAAGTACTTAATAAGCATAAAGCTCTCTTGCAAAACTATATATATATATATATATATTTGAATGTATCTATTTATTTACACCTCCCAGAGTGTGTTGTCACATTGGTATTTTTGTGTATCCCAGTATTTTTAGGTAGTTTAAGGAATTATCAGTTTTTTTACTGTTTGTAAAAAAAAAAAAAAAATCCAGTACAAATAAATGTGAATAAATCAACTGCTCCTGTGTGAATCTGTGCACACTTATGAGCTCTTCTATGTGGTTGATAAAATGAATAAAACAAAATAGCTGTAAACGATCGTGTTAATAACATTTTCTATTATTAGAATTTTTCTCAACCAGCTATGATTATGCAATAACAACTGTAACTAAAATTTGAAGAAAAGCAAAGCAGCTCCTCTCAGGTTTATAAAGCCTGTTGTGGCGGAGGCGTGGCCCCGGGCGCAGCTGCAGGGGAGGAGTGGAGCGGAAGGCTCAACAGGGCGGCGCTGCGAGGCCGGTAAGAACAGCTGATGTTGTTTATGGACTGATGATGGTCTCCCTCCGCTGTGTTTATAGTGAGACGAGGAGGAGCGGCCAAGAGAGATCAGCTGGGCTCGTGAGCTGTCAGACTGTGTGACTGAGTCAGCTGTGAAAACAACAACACTTAAATAAATGTGGAAGTTGGCTGTACCTACCTGTGTGTGCGTGTGTCTGTGCCTGGTGTATTCCACAAGTGGTGCCGAAACCCAGGAGAGTGCCGGTGGGGAAATGTCCGACCCACAGGCCGCGCCACCCGCCCAGCCTCTGCAATTCTTGGCGCAGATGCTGGCGGAGATGGCGACGATGAGCCGGGACCAGGCGGCCGACCAGCGTGCCCACCTGGCCGCGCTGCGGGAGCAGACGGACCGGCAGACGCAGGTTCTGGAGCGGCTGGTCGGGGCCGCTGCCACGCCGAAGCCCTCGCCACTGTCGGTGGCGGTGCCCCGGATGGGGGACGGGGACGACCCACAGGTTTTCTTGGAGACCTTCCGTGCCACGGCGGAGGCTTGCCAATGGCCGCGGGAGGAGTGGGCTCCGCGGCTGCTTCCCCTGCTGTCCGGGGAGGCACAAACAGCGGCCCTGAGTCTGCCTCCGGCGTCGAGGAGCAGCTTCGCGGACGTGAGCCGGGCGGTGGTGGACAGGCTGGGGCTCACCGCCGAAGACCACCGCCGGCGGTTCCGGGCCTGTCGGCTGGCTACAACGGACCGACCATTCGCCTGGGCCCGGCAGCTGCGCGACGCGGCGGTACGCTGGCTGCAACCGGGAACATCGGAGGGGGAGACGAAGCTGGTGGACAAGGTGGTGCTGGAGCAGTTCACGGAGGGATTGCCAGCGGAGACGGCGAGATGGGTCCGGTGCCACCGGCCCGCAAGCTTGGAGGTAGCGGTGACGCTGGCGGAGGACCACCTTGCCGCTGGAGCAGGGGAACCCGGGGACGCCGGGCGGAGGCCGAACAAACAGGCCCCAGTGCCGGCCCCGAGGCGCCGTGTGCCGACACCAGGGCAGGCAGAACGGCTGCCGGCGCTGAGCCCCACTAACCCTTTCGCGGCGTTGGTGCCGTCCAGGGGAACCGAGCCAAGTGGAGCCGCCCCCGAGCCACGGAGAGCAGCACAGACGCCGGGGCCGGAGTGTTGGAAGTGCGGGCAGCCGGGGCACCTGAGGAGGGATTGTCCGCTTATGGAAGTGGGGCAGGTGTTTCGTGTTGCTGGCGCCCCAGCACCCTCCCCCGGTCCAGGAGGGACATACAGTATTCCGGTAAGGACTCGAGGGGGTATACGCCAGGCGTTGGTGGACACGGGCTGCACGCAGACCCTCGTACACCAAAGCTTGGTTCGCCCCGGGGCATTGCTGGAGGCAGAATGGGTGGAGGTGAGGTGTGTGCATGGTGACGTTCACAAGTATCCCATAGTGCCGCTGTTATTGAAGTATAAGGGCAAAACGCATAGAGTAACGGCGGCGGTTAGCCCGCGCCTGTCGCACCCCCTGATTCTGGGTACCAATTGGCCGGGGTTTCATCAGCTACTGGGGCAGTACGCGGGGGTGCGATCACGACCGGAAGCGGGGTGTAGCGTGTGCGCGGCGTTCAGCGGTGACGCGGGGTCGTCCGACACTGACTCCGGGGGGGAGGAGCCGGCGGGTCCCTCACGGGACGTCCCGCCGGCCCCGGAAGTGTCCCCCATGGGTGATTTCCCACTGGAGCAGTCTCGTGACGGCACCCTACGCTCAGCCTTTGACCAAGTGATGGCTATTGATGGTCACGTGGTGCGCCCTGAGGCCGCGCAGACCTACCCGCGTTTCGTCTTATTAAACGACCGATTATATCGAGTGAGTCGTGACACTCAGACAGAGGAAACACACACCCAGTTGTTGGTGCCGCAGGGCCGCCGGGAAACGCTTTTCCAGGCGGCCCACTATAACCCCATGGCAGGGCATATGGGCTATGAGAAAACTCTGGAGCGAATAACGGCCCGATTTTATTGGCCGGGCATCCGAGCGGATGTGCGCCGCTGGTGCGCGTCCTGCCCGGACTGCCAACTTGTTAACCAGCCGGCCATACCGAAGGCGCCGCTGCGCCCTCTCCCCCTCATTGAGGTCCCGTTTGAGCGCATCGGCATGGACCTCATCGGGCCGTTTCACCGGAGTGCACGCGGCTACCGCTTTGTGTTAGTCCTGGTGGATTACGCAACGCGGTACCCGGAAGCAGTTCCGCTGCGCACCATCTCTGCAAAGAGTGTGGCGCAGGCACTGTTTCAGGTCATCTCCCGAGTCGGAATCCCGAAAGAGATACTGACTGACCAGGGCACGTCGTTTATGTCTCGTACACTGCGGGAACTGTACGAATTACTGGGCATTAAATCTATTCGGACCAGTGTCTACCACCCTCAGACTGACGGGCTGGTGGAGCGGCTGAATAAGACTTTAAAGTCCATGATTCGGAAGTTCATTAACGAGGATGAACGCAATTGGGATCACTGGCTAGACCCTCTGTTATTCGCAGTGCGGGAGGTGCCCCAGGCCTCCACGGGATTTTCTCCCTTTGAACTGCTGTTCGGCAGGAGGCCACGTGGGGTGCTCGACCTGATTAAAGAAAGCTGGGAGGACGGTCCGAGCCCCGCCAAAAATGAGATTCAGTACGTGTTGGACCTGAGAGCAAAACTCCACACTTTGGGGAGGTTGTCACGGGAGAATTTGCTCCAGGCTCAGCAGCGTCAGCAACGCCTGTATGACAGAGGGGCTAGGCTCAGGCAATTTTCACCGGGAGATAAAGTGCTTGTGTTACTCCCTACTTCCAGCTCGAAGTTGCTCGCCAAGTGGCAAGGACCCTTTGTGGTCACACGGCGAGTCGGGGACGTGGACTATGAGGTCGCTCGGTCGGACAGGGGAGGAGCCACGCAGATTTATCACCTCAATCTCCTCAAACTGTGGCGAGAGGTTGAAACCGCTTCTCTGGTGAGCTTGGTGAAGGAGAGAGATGAGTTGGGGCCTGAGGTGCCAAATTCTATCATTCCCACCTCCCTCCCTTGTGATGACCATCTCACACAGGCCCAGAGAGCGGATGTTGTCGCGTTGCAACAGCGTTTTGCGGACGTGTTCTCCCCCCTGCCCGGCCGGACGTCCCTCATCGAGCACCATTTCGTGACGCAGCCCGGCGTGACGGTGCGTTCACGGCCCTACAGGCTCCCGGAGCATAAGCGAAAAATCGTGCAGAGGGAATTGGCGGAAATGCTGAGGATGGGAGTAATAGAAGAGTCGCACAGCGCCTGGTGTAGCCCCATCGTTCTGGTGGCGAAGAAGGATGGGTCTATACGGTTCTGTGTCGACTATCGCAGGGTGAACGAAGTGTCACGCTTTGATGCCTACCCCATGCCTCGGGTCGACGAGCTCCTGGACCGGTTAGGCACGGCCCGCTTTTTCACGACACTGGACTTAACCAAGGGCTATTGGCAGATTCCCTTGTCTGCCGAGGCCAGGGAGAAAACGGCCTTCTCCACTCCGTACGGTTTGTACCAGTTCGTGACGCTTCCGTTTGGCCTGTTCGGGGCCCCGGCCACTTTCCAGCGTCTCATGGACCGGGTACTGCGTCCGCACGCAGCGTATGCTGCCGCCTACCTGGATGACGTGATCATCCACAGCGACACCTGGGCGGAGCATGTGCTGCGGGTGGCCGCGGTCCTGGAGTCCCTGAGGGGGGCGGGGCTCACGGCCAATCCGAAGAAGTGCGCGGTTGGACGGAGGGAGGTGCAGTATCTGGGGTACCACCTGGGGGGCGGGCAGGTGCGTCCACAGGTGGAGAAGACGGCGGCTATCGCATCCTGCCCGCGCCCCAGGACGAAAAAGGAGGTGAGACGGTTCTTGGGGTTGGCGGGTTACTATCGTCGCTTTGTGCCGGGGTTTGCGCAGCTAACCAGCCCCCTGACCGATCTCACTCGAAAGGGTGCCCCGGATCTGGTCCAGTGGACGGGGCCGTGCCAGGCGGCGTTTGTGCAGGTGAAAAAGGCTCTCTGTGGGGAGCCGCTGCTTCACACTCCTAACTTTTCCCTCCCTTTTGTTCTGCAGACTGACGCCTCGGACAGAGGGCTGGGAGCCGTTTTGTCCCAGCAGGTGAGGGGGGCCGACCGCCCTGTCCTATACATCAGCCGGAAGCTAGCAGAGCGCGAGCGCCGGTACAGCACCGTGGAGAAGGAGTGCCTGGCCATCCGGTGGGCGGTCGGCTCCCTGCGCTATTACCTCCTGGGACGCTCATTCACCCTCTGTTCGGACCACGCCCCGCTGCAGTGGCTCCACCGCATGAAGGATGCCAACGCCCGGATCACCCGGTGGTATCTGGCGTTGCAGCCCTTTAAGTTCAAGGTGATCCATAGGCCGGGGGCGCAGATGGCAGTGGCCGATTTCCTCTCTCGCTCGCGGGGGGGGGAGTTGGCTCGGCCGGACGGCTCCCCGGCCTCGAACGGGCGGTGGGGGTGTGTGGCGGAGGCGTGGCCCCGGGCGCAGCTGCAGGGGAGGAGTGGAGCGGAAGGCTCAACAGGGCGGCGCTGCGAGGCCGGTAAGAACAGCTGATGTTGTTTATGGACTGATGATGGTCTCCCTCCGCTGTGTTTATAGTGAGACGAGGAGGAGCGGCCAGAGAGAGATCAGCTGGGCTCGTGAGCTGTCAGACTGTGTGACTGAGTCAGCTGTGAAAACAACAACACTTAAATAAATGTGGAAGTTGGCTGTACCTACCTGTGTGTGCGTGTGTCTGTGCCTGGTGTATTCCACACCTGTCTATAAAGAGAGTTTCGCTGAACTGTCGTACTTAAAGATTTCCTGTTTTGGTTCATTGTTTCTTCCTGCGGCTCACTCCCTGATCAGCAACAAGCAGCAAACAAACACAACAAACCTTCTTCACAGCAGCTGTTTTTGATTTGAACTAGTCAGCAAGATAAGGCAGGTGTTACTAATCACGTTAATGAAGGCTTAGTTTCTAAGCAGAACAGCACCAAGCTTCATTAATGTGATTAGTTACACCTGCTTTTACCTGCTATTAGAAGAAAACAGTTGGAAACCGTTAGAATATTCTGTCGATGATAGATATTTGGATGAAACCAGGTGGTTGGAAATATGACCTTACATGGTTGCTAATTTTGCTCTGAAAGGTTTCCACTGCCTCTGGGTGTCCAAAAAACCCCTTGTTGTTTCATGTTTACACACCATTGACCAGAGTCTGTGTATCATGTACTCACTGGCTCGAACCATGCACAGTATGTGCTGAGAGAAAAAAAGAAAGAAAAGATGCTGATGATTGATGAGTGATACAGTGGGAGATGCAATAATAACGGTGCAGTAAGACTGTTGCTACAGAAGATGGCGACAAAAACACGTTTTGCTTGTTGCGTGTTAGGAATAATCTTTGGACATGCTTTACTTTCTGTGTGCATTTGACTGTTTTCTACATCAAATAAGTCAAAGGAAGAAGAATTCCAAGTAAAAGCACACAAACGACCTGCGGATCTTAAAGTGTAGAGGATGTTAAATGGAAAGTCTGCAGTCTAGGGAATTTATAAACCACTGCAGTCCATTTAAAGGTAATCAAGTTCAGTCAATAGTATCGTCTGTACCTCAACTTTAGGTCTTTTTTCTTTTTTAGTGGGTGTATTTGGAGTGAACCTCACTGTTAATGGAAAAAAAAACAGCAAATATCAAGGTCCCACAAAAATCCCACATTTATTGCAGTTATGGAATTTTGGTTGTCAAAACTTTTTTACATACTTTTATTTATTTTTTTGCTTAAAACATTTATTGTAATTAAAGTATACACAGTGCTCAGTACTACAGAGATCGTACTGGATATCAAAATTGGTATCTGACTTTGGGCTAGTGTAACTCTCTGACACTTTTTCCAAAATGGCTATTTATTTAAAAAATACTCCTCACGCACTACAGTAGTAGTAGTACTACGGACATGAAAATATATGACAACAAGTGATACATTCACAAAGACAGAGTACACAGTGCCGTCATTCAACTGAACGATGGCAGATCACAGGAGGAGGACCGAATCATTCAGATGTGTGTGCCACTACAAAGACTTCGCTGAACCTCTGCAGTACAAATACAGTGAGACTCCTATACAAACTATATACTGTAAATATACATCTGATTTTTTTATTCATACTGCTTTTAGGGCAATTTCATTTCCTCCTTTGTCTCATTCTGTGTTTCCGCCTCGTCTGTTTGACTTCGGTTTCTCTTCCAAAACACACAAAATAAAATAAAAAAGTTTTCCTGATGAGAAACTGGAACCCACATATACAGACAGAAATCAACACTATGTACAGACACCGCATGTGTTTGCTGCCCACACACTCACTCACGCACGCTGATGCAAAATGAGGATAAAACTTGCAGAATTCAGTGTTTCTGCAAAAAAAAAAAAAAAAAAAAGAGGCAAAGGGAGAAATCTGATTGGCCGGGCAGCTCAGTACCTGAATGGAAATGCATGGAGCTTAACAGGGAAGGAGACATGAGTATTTAATGCCAGTGATTTGTCCATCAGTTCATCTGTTTCTGGTCCTGAAGTGATAGCTGGATTATCGAAAATGTCTAAAACAGGGAAGGAGAAAGAGAGAAATGGTGGAAGGTTGCAGGATGGAGGCTTTCCTACGGCCCTCCGCTGTAGGAATAATCTGCCTTGTTGTGCATCACCAGCTTGTTGTCCACAAAGTAGAAGCTGTCAGACTGCGTCTCGTAAGGGTGCAGGATCATCTCACGCACTGAGAGAGGGAGAGAGACAGCACACAGCGTTCTAAAACATCAAATCCATCTAAACATGGGGCGGGGGTATTTGTCTCGAGTGCGTCGGAGTGTGTGACACTCACTCATTTCCTCGGACAGCGTGGGGAACTCATAAATGTGCTCGCACGTGTTCTTGCTGCTGGGCATGCAGAAGCCAAACTCGAAATCAAAACTCTTTAGCAGCTGATCGCGGAAGTAGTGTCTCTCAATCATACGGAAGTTGTTGATGGGGGTGTCACCAACAGTGAACTCCACTCTGCAGAGACACAAAGTGGACAAAATACACCCACCAACGAGTAAGGGAATGGAAATACAAACTGCTGTCGCTGCTTTTGACACTTATGATAACAGTTGTAATAACGCAACAAGGGAAAAGCCTAGTAACAATCAATCTAGATTATCTGCAAACCCAATTCCAAAAAGGGTGGCTGCTTAAAACGTGAATAAAACTGAATGCAATTATTTGCAAATCTCAGAAATTCCATATTTTACTCACAGCAGAACACAGAAAACATATCAAGTACTTAACCTGAGAAAATGTAACATCTTAAGAAAAAGCTTGTTTTGAATTTGATGGCAGCAGCACGTCTGGAAAAATTTGGGACAGGGTTTGTGTTCACCACCGTGTAACATCACCTCTTATAACAGTTTGTAAAATGTAGGAACTGAGGAGAGCAGCTGCTGGACTTTTAGGAGAAGAATATGGTGGTGTTTCTAGATTATGGATGGATATGTCTTTTTTGACTGATTTGTGGAATTCACAACAAACTGTGATCAAAGAAAACGATTTCTGGAAGAGTTCCTGATTCCTGACAGAATCATGTCTGTTTTTAATGCAGCACAGTCTGAGGGCCTGAAGTTCACAGACATCCGATAAGCAGCACCTGGCTGCTACTAAAGCCTCTTAATTCCTATGGAAGCAGAAAGGATGCAAGTCTCCTTTATTAGGTTATGGGAGAGTGTCAGATCTGAACACGCTGAGTAGCCTTTAGTGTTTAATTGCATTGGTTGCTTCAGAGCTCTAACAAGTAACTTTCACATTAGAAATAAATAGCAGTGAAAAAATAAACACATTAGCTTTATTATTTTTATGCGGTTGTGACGAGCGAATCACTTTACTTACAACACTCTGCACTGCTCTCTTGTCTTAATTATTCTTTACTGTTATATTTTTACATTCTGCTTACATCTCCATCACCTGTTCCTCTGATAATGTCTCTGATTGGAGCAGACCATGTGCCATCGATCCCCTTTTTGCTTGGAAGAAGAGCAAAACAACACATCAAACTTTTATGTGAGCCTGAAGCTGAAAGTCTGAGTTAAATAAGAGAGTCGATAATCATGGTCGTGATACCTGTTATCTCTGACTGAGGTTTCAGATTTTGTTAAGCCTGGTAATGCAAAGAAGGCCTGGTTTTGTTTAGCTTGCTCTGGAGCACACCCATAAAGGAGGCTTAAAAAAACATAGTTTGGTGAATTAAATGTGATTAGAAATGATAAAAAGGATAAATCGAAGTTATAAAATTAAAAAATGAAGACTGTCAGGGATTTTGAGTTTTGGGGAGTTTTGGGTTTTCTCTAATTTTGTATTCTTATCTTGTTTTATGTTTCTATACTCTATAATATTGATATTTAGCTTGCTGTATTTCTTAGTGTTTATGGGTCTTTTTTTTCAATCTTGGTTGTTGTTTTCACGACTTTAGTTCTGACCCTTTGTTGCAAAGACCTTTAGGTTTGGTCTGTGTTTTGTGGGTTTATGACTTCCTTTTAGTTTTCAGATAGGAACTCTCTGTTTATGTTGTTAGTTTTACTTTCCTTGTGTTTATGATTTCTTATCTGTGCCTTTAGTTCCCTGCTTGTTTTAGCTGACGACAGGTTTTTAAATTCCCTTTTGTATTCCAAATTCTGTTCCTTCCATCTTATGTTTTGACCTCTTTTGAATTCAATTTCATTTATATAGAACAGCAATTACAACAGCAGCCACCTCAAGGTGCTTTTTATATACCTACAAAAAGACTACCTCCATGAGCAAGTACTTGGCGAAAGTGGGAAGGAAAAACTCCCTTTTAACAGGAAGAAACTTCAGGCTCAGGGAAGGGAAGCCATCTGCTGCGACCAGTTGAGGACGAGGGGGAGAAGACAGGACAAAAGGCACATTGTGGAAAACACAGAGATGAATAACTAATGATTAAATGCGGAGTGAAAAAAGGTGAATGAAGAAGAAAAACCCAGTGCATCATGGTCCCAAGTCCCCAGCAGCCTAAGCCTATTGTACACTAACAAAGGGATCCAGCCCTAACTATATAATTGTATATTTGAGTCTTGGTCTCAGTGTTAGTTATTTCTTGTCTTATTTTGATAGTCTCCTGTCACTAGTGGTTTGCATTTAATCCTACTTCCCCTGTCGCCCATCTCTGATTGGTTTCAGCTGTCCTCCCACCTGTTTCCTCTCCGGTGTATATCTATTGTCTCAGTCTTTCCTCCTTGTGTGTTTTCTTATAAGAGTTGTAGTTTTGGGAAGTTTGTTCTTGACCTGCATTATTTTGTATTTTAGTAAAAACACAGCATTAAAGCTGATTTTGAGTTTACTTTCCATTTTCTAAGGCCTACATTTTGGGTCCATCCATCCAGCTGTCAAATGCACTAAAACCATTTACTCTACAGGTTAACACACACATAATCCAAATAATAATAATAATAATAATGATGATGATAATACTACTACCAATAATAATGATACAAATTTAGGGCTAATCCCAGTTTAGATTAGTCAGTTGATGTGTTGGTTTGAAATCTGCACTCAGTCTCATG